ACTTATTGTGTAGCCCAGGCTGGTCTCAAACTTGTGGTGATCCTCTTGCCTCAGTCTCCTGAGTGCTGGGATTATAGGTTAGTGCTACCACACCTAGATAAGGATAAAATAATTTTAGATTTCATTTGGAATATAAGATATGCAAGAACTGCTAAGAAAAGTTTAACAAGGTAAACTTAAGGGGAGGTACTGGTCCTATCATCTGTGGAGACTCTGCAACTACAACTGTCTGGTATTTGTTTAGAGAAAAAGAAAATTATTTACCAATGGGACTGAATAGAGCTCTCAGAAAATTTTTTTTTTTTTTTTTTTTGTACTGGGGATGGAACTTGGGACCTTGTGCTTACAAGGCAGGTGGTAGTGCCACTGAGATAAATCCCTGGCCCATCTCAGAAAATATTTTAAACATACTTGGAGGTTTTTTTTTTTTGGTACTGGGGATTGAACTTGGGACCTTGTGCTTGCAATGCAGGTGGTGGCACCACTGAGCTAAATCCCCAGCCCTATTTGGACATTTAACACATGATAAAGTTGGCACCTTAGTTTAGTGGCAAATGATTTTTGTGGTAAACTATATTCACATATTTACTCTCAATATAAAAAACAGATTGGTCTCATACCATGTACTGTATAAAATATAAACTTTTTTATAGCAAAAGATTTATTGGTACATTTTAGGCATACATAATGATAACACTCATTGCAGGGAATTTGCACATGTATGTACTTGATACATCCTGCCTCTTTTTCCCATTACCCGCTCCCTTCAAGCCCCCTCCCCTCCCTATGTACACAAGTTTTGTTTCCATTTTTCCTTCTATTTTCTCCTTTCTTTCTTGTCCCTTCCTTCCTTTCTCCCTCCCTCCTCCTTTGTTCCCCTTCCCATTTGAACATAAAATATAAATCTTAAATGAATCCAATACCAAGGCACCATCCTCTATTGTCTGATGAGGGGCTTCTCGCTGTGTCCTTGCAGGGGGAAAAGGGGATGCACTCCCATTGTCAAGACCTCCCATTTTTGTTTTATTAAGACAGGATCTCACCACAGAGCCCAGGCTGGCTTCAAACTTGCATTGATCCTCCTGCCTGAGTCTCTCAAATGCTGGGCCTTCAGGCACGAACCACCATGCTTGCACTTGGCAAATGCTTTTCTAATGGAATTAATCCACTCAGGAGGGCAGAGCTGTCATGACATAAACACTTCCCCAAAGGCTCCACCTCCCAGCACTATTGCCTTGGGGATTAAGTTTCCAGCACATGGATTTTGGACACATTCAGACTATCTATGGCAGGAATTAAGACACATCATCTTTGTAGACTATAAACTAAAGGGTTTTCCTCCCCTAGATGCTAGGTACTTGCAAATCTTTACAGTCTATGGCCCATCTACTTTGTTAGCCGTTTTACTCAGAGACAGTTACCCTCCATCAAGGAGACAGGTCAGTTATCTATTGGAAATCATTCTAGGTTTGTTCTACAAAGACCAGGACTCTCTCCTGATGTTCTCACTGCTTTCCTGGTAAAGCTGTGTTGCATGGTTACTGGCTGAACAGCTTTGCTTTGGTTCTTCCAGCTCATAAATCCAGTCCACTTCCCAAGGTAGCCAGATTTGGGTCTATGGCAATGATGGTGGCTACAGTACTTAGTTCTTCTTTGCCTACTTAGGAGATTCCATTGCATGTCCCACTATCACCTTTGATGTAACATGTTTCTTTGTCATCAACTTGCTGAGGGTTCTTTTGCACAATGTAAATAGAAATCACAAGTGGGCAAAGTGTAGCTTAACCTGTTTACAGCCCTGACCTTGGAAGGTCAGTGGTCTCAGCTCTGTGTTAATGGCCTCCCTCTCTGCTCCCCTGGCTGCAACAGCTACCAGCAGCAAGAGAAACTTTTAGTGACCAGCAGTGGTGGCTCCCAGCTATTCTCTGGCATTCTCCTTCATTCTGTGCCTGCTTGCCACTGTCACTGTTATCACCTCTGGGATCAGGTTGCTTTTGGTGCAAGCAACTTTCGATGTTACCAGGTCTTAGTGTATCAGCTCAGCTTGCTCTATTGAAGATGGAATTGTGAATAGGCAAAATATGTTATACTGCAGCAGAAGGGGGAACAATGCCCAAATTGACTTAAGGGTGTGAGGGAAGTTGCTTCTATAGGAAAAGAGAAGGCAGCTTGTGGATGTGCAGGATCTAGCTTCCTGTGCCGTCCTGGGGGGTGGAGGGACTCCTCAAAGACTAACTGAGGAGCACTGCAAAGGGGCAGAGTTGGCCAGAGAGGCCAGAGGGTGGAAGTGTCAGGGATGGAGCCCAGATCTGAGCTCGTGATGGCCATAGCAGAAGCCTCCTGAAGTGGCGTAGGGCATCTGTTCTAGCTGGCTATGGCTGCGAGGTGTTGGGGCAGCCACAGAAGAGTGTGAAAAATAAAAAGTACCTCTTGGGGAGCATCATGCCCTTCTATTTTGTCTCACTTTAAAACTGATGGTAAATGACTTAATTCTTCTAGCAGTGTGATTTTGAAGCCTAGAAACCTTACTTTCCCTCTACATCATCACCCTTCTTCCAGGCCTGTATCTAATTGTAGGCTCACACAATAGCAGACTTGCAAGTGAATTCTTAGTTCTGTCCCCATCTCTCATTGATTCCCTTTCTCTGGGTTCTACACCTGCCCTCACTCTTCCCTACTTGCTGTCCCAGTGTCAACAGGGCCTGCTGTGACTGGGGGACATATGGTGCCATATGGTGCTGGGTGACTTCTTCCTGATGTTTAACATTGAATGAATTAGAGGAAAAATAAATGTTAATAGTAATAGCAACAGGCCAGGGATTTAGCTCAGTGGTTCTGCCACCTGCCCCACAAGCGCAAGGACCCAAGTTTGAGCCTCGGTACCAATAGTAATGGCAACACTGGATTGGTCAGCCTTTTGGTATCTTTTTGTTGTTGTTGTTTTGTTTTGGTACCGGAGATCGAACTCGGGACCTCGCACTTGCAAGGCAGGTGCCAGAACCACTGAGCTAAATCCCCGGCCCTTGGTATCTTTTATTTTTGATACTGGGGATCGAACTCAGGACATTCCACTTGTGAGGCAGGTGCGGTGCCACTGAGCTAAATCTATGGCCCATGCCTTTTGGTATCTTAACTTATCCTATACCAATCCATTGGTACTAAAACTAGACAGAGACATCACCATGGTAGTAATATAAAATGTGTTTATATTTAATATATCTTATAAAAAATAGAAATGAAGTATTAAAATTATTTTTGTTTTCAAAAAGTCTTAAAATATTTAAAATTATTTGTTAGAATTAAAAACAAATGACAAACATAAGTATTGTCTCAGTTTTAAGTAAAAATTTAATTAAAATAATTTAAATTTAACTTTTAAAACATTAAATGAAGCTTCAAAGCTCATTAAAAAGTTATTAATGGTTTGCATAAATAAAGCTATGCATTCCTAGTGTTCAAAGTTTATCTTGCTGCTAGTGTAAGGAATTAGCATCACAGGTTACTTCTGTAACTATACCCAAATTTAAGAGTAATAATGAGCTGATTTATATTGCAAAGGGCTGCACTTTGGGTAGGGCAAATATTCACTATTTGCGTCTTTTAAAAATCTAGTCTTATTTGGTCTCTTTTAACCAGGGATAGGGCTACATTTCCTTCTTGACATTGGCTATTTATTTTATTTTATTAAAAAAAAATTTTTTTTTGGTACTGGGGATCGAACTCAGTACCTTGCACTTGCAAGGGAGGCGCCAGAACCACTGAGCTAAATCCCCAGCCCAAAGTTTTTTGGTTTTTTTTTTTGGTACCAGGGATTGAACTCAGGACCTTGCGCTTGCGAGGCAGGCGCTGGAACCACTGAGCTAAATCCCCAGCCCAACATTGGCTATTTAAAGGGACAAGATGAGTTGTTTTATAAGGTGATCCATATTCCAAGTTTGTCTGATGGTTTAACTTGTCCCTTTGTCCTCAATCAATTATTTTCATGAAGTTTGGCCTAAAGATTTGGCTAGCTTTAAAGGAGGACAGCATGGCTGGCTCTCTGTTGGTTGTATAGTGTCTCATCAGTAAGAACATAGTGTCAAGCTGGATCACCTGGCTGCAATGATAATGTCAGACCTCTCCACTGTAAAACAAGCAAACAGGTCACAGGAAAACCACAGTCCAATATCCCTTATGAATATACAGTATATGGAATAATTCTTGATGAAATCCCAGCAAATTAAATCTAGCAATATGGAAAGGATTCTACACCATGTCCAAGTGGGATTTTTCTCAAAATGCAAGGCTAATCCAATACATAAAAATCAATGTAATACTGTATACCATATTAATAGGATGAAAGACAGAAAGCCATAGAAGGGAAAAAGTTCTGATGTATGCTAAAACATGAATTGACCCTTGATAACTATGCTAAGTGAAAGAAGCTGGACTCCCCAAACGACCACATATTATAAGATTCTATTCATATAAAATGTTCAGAACAGGCAATCCTATAAAAATAGTACATTAGGGATTTTAGAGGCCAGGAGAAGGGAGTGGGGAGTTAATGACAATGCGATGGAGTTTCTTTTTGGTGCAATGGGAATGTTCTGGAAATCTTACTGTTACTGCAAAACATTGTGACTGTGCTAAAAACTGCTGAATTGTACATTTCAAAATGATGAATTCTGTCATATGTGAATTACATCTCAGTAAAAGCGAATGTGTATAAGAAACGGAATCCTAGAGAACCTTAGATTTAGAGCAAGTAGATGCTCAAATAGATGTTAGCTGATGCATGACAAGAACTGCTGGAAATCTTTCTAGGCCACAGTGAAGCCCTCATCTGCTGACTGATAGGACAGAGGGCAGCTGCTGGTAGCTTACCCACCCCATGTAATCTCCAAGACGTTGGGTCCCAGGAGTTGTTTTTGGTAAGGACTAAGTTCTTAAAGTTGGCAAAGACTGCATTCTTAATTGCTAACTCTCCCTCCTAAGCCCTGTTTTAATTTTGCTTTCAGCATCACCATGACAACCTGTTCCACAGTGGCTGCCCTGGGAATGATGCCCCTCTGCCTTTATCTCTACACCTGGTCCTGGGATCTGGCCCAGAATCTCACCATTCCATATCAGAACATAGGTCTGTATTGGGCTTTTGAACTGCAGTAATAACAGCAACAGTGACAGTACTAACAGTAACTGTTCTTCATTACATATGTCTACTTGCAGGGTTTTTTTCCGGCATTATCTAATCTAATCCCTAAATAATCTCACAGTATAAATTCTATTATTGGTTCAGTTTCCTGGATTTTGGGTCTTAGGAAGGTTAAGTAACTTGACCAAGATTGTATAGCTAGTAGGTGTGGAACTAGAATTGTAACTCAGGAATCTGACTGCAAAGCCCAGGCTCTTAATTGCTACCTATTCGTCAGTTTTTTGTTGCAATAATGAAATACCTGAGGTGTGACACTTATGAAGAAAAGAGGCTCCTGGAGCTCGCATTTTTGGAGGCTAAAAATCCAAGCAGTACAGCACAGGGTCTTGTATGGTCCCCTGTGTCCCCTCCTGATGTGTTACCTTGTAGTGGGTAGTGCAGATGGAAGTGTGTGTGTGTGTGTGTGTGTGTGTGTGTGTGTGAAAGTAATCACATCTTGAACAGGAAGCAAGAGAGAGCCAGGTGGGGCCAGGCTCCAGCTTTTATAACAGCCCTCTCACAAGAGCCACCAAGGAGTTAACAGGGCTTGCAGGTGACCTAAAGACCTTCCTCAAGGCCCTCACTTCTTAGGCTCTGGCTTCCAACATGGTCAGTGAGGACCAAGCTCCTGACACAGGAGTTGGGGAGGCAGGGGAGGGACATACAAACCACAGCACCTATGAGAGTTTATCTTTGAGCAGAATGACAGCTGGAGGTCCTACTTGAAACAAAACAAAACCAAAAAACCCAACTCTTAGATAATCAGGAACAGTTGGGCTCTTTTCATCCTTCCTTCCTCCCTTCCTTCCTTCCTTTCTCCTTCCTTCTTCCTTCCTTTCTGTTGTTTTGGACAGGGTCTTGGTATTGTAGTTCAGGTTGGCCTTGAACTTGCTATGTTGCCCAAACTGGCCTCAAACTTTCAATCTCTCTGCTTCAGCCTTCCACATGCTGTGATTACAGGTGTGTGCCACCGGGCCCAGCACAAGTGGGGTTTTTATGGTCCAAAGTTTAACTGGATCTAGGCCACTCTATTCCTACCTTTGCACAACTCCACCTTTGTCATGGCCTATGAGCCTTGACTCTTTCTTACAGAAGGAGGTGAATGATTTTCACTGGTTATCAAAGCCCATCCGCCCAACACAACCAACCCATCTCCCATTAGTTTCTCTCTAGGATGTGCTTCTCACTAAATGCAGATCTTTCTCTGTGGATTTCTGTGGGCTAACTTTGGAAGGGAATGTGGTGAAATGATCTGCCAGTCTTTGGAGAAGAAGTAGAAACCTTGACTCTCAAAGCCCTGTAAATGGCCAATCTGGAGTCTCAGGGAGCCCCATGAGGGTTCAGACCTGTGGCCCATAGTTGAAACCATGATCAGAGACTTCCGAAGGCAGCTGGAGCCCATTGTGTTTGTAACATCTGTGTGAAAACTTTATTTAGAAACCTATTGCACAGAAAAGTGCAACCTTTCCTTATCAGTAAGTTAATATTTGATAATATGTTCTGAAAAGCATTCATAAATAACTAAAATCCAAAATTCCATGAACAATTCATATAACTTTTGAGGCAGGATGGTAGGGTTTGGGCAGATTTGGAAAGTGCTTCTGGAAAAGTTCAGCGTGGGTCCTGTTGGCAAAGGGGATTGTCACCTCCTCCTTCCCATGCTTGCCTTCAAAGCCTTTATTCACTTGTGCTAATACAAAGGGCTTGTCCTGCCCATCTTTGGACTCCCTGGCTACAGTTGGGGAATATGAGAAGTTATTGTGTAGTATTACAAGTGCTATTTTGTGTTTGTGACACGCACTCTTGACTTTGTGAAGTAATGACCTGCTGGCCTCACCTAGGGAAATAACAGCTGTGGTTATATAGGGGTGACACCCAAAGAATTTCACGGACTTAAAATGGCCCTCTGTTTTTTGAATCTTTACATTTCCTGTTGTCTCCAAAATTCTGGGTGATTGTCGGCACGGTTCTGTGAGGGAAACGAGACCTGGGTGTGGTGGCCTTCGTTAGTGTCACAGGCCCTTCGAGACTGTCTTCAACGGTGCCTTTGTTTTTGGAGATGGATGCCAAAACAAAATGAGCCTTCCTGCAGAGATTGTGTAATTAAAAATGACCTAATTGAGCTAGACTTGTCGGAAAGGACTGGGCAGTCAGGGAAGAGGCAAGGTGGTCTGACGGGAATTACTCTGAATTCTTTAGGACTTACTCTGCTGTGTCTGACCATCCCGGTGGCCTTTGGCGTCTTTGTGAACTATAAGTGGCCAAAACAATCGAAAATCATCCTCAAGGTAAGAATCCCCGTCACACTCAAGAGACCTGACAGACCCGAAGGACAGAAGTTGATGGCTGAAATCCTGCAGATCACAATTTCCCTAAGGGTAGGGATCCAGCTCTGGCTCCCTCCACTTACTTCTCTAAGCCTTGCTGGGTCACTCTCAGAGGCCCCTGGAACACACTGGAAGTGTGTTGATGTAGTGACAGAAAAGCTAAGGCCCGAGTGTGGACAAGGACCATCAGGGCCTGTGCGTTCTCAAGGCCCTTTGTTTGGTGGTTTTGTTTGAGATAGGATCTTGCTACGGAGCCCAGGCTGACCTTGAACTCACAGCAATCCTCCCGCCTCAGCCTCCTGTTTACAGGTGTGTGCTACCATGCCGAGCTCTAAGAGGAGGCATTCTTAACAATGAGCTCAATCTCAAGGGTGTCTTCCATTTTTCCAACTGTGTGTCACTTTAGAAGACAAAAGAATGTAATGCGCTGCTTTCCTGAAGATTTTTAAAACATCTTATATTTTACATTTATAAGGAAAGAAAAAACCATTTGGGTTACCTGGACATTCTGCAAGCAAGTGTCAGTTTTGGCTTTGGGTATCCGGTTTGGTTAGTTTAAGCTCTCGTTGTCTCAAATGTAGCTGACAGTGAGGCTGCCTTGGCACTTTCCTAGGAGACTCAGCAAGCAGCCCCCCCCCCCCCCCGCACCGCGCCCAGGAGGGCGGAGTAAGTGGGAAGGGGAGGGGCGGACGCCAGGGCGCCCCTGCGAAGTGGCCTTGGGGTTGCACAGGTGACCATCATGTGTTTTTTTGTTTGTTTGTTTTTTTTTGTACTGGGTATCGAACTCCGGTCCTTGCGCTTGCGCAGCAGGCGGTGAAACCCCTGAGCTAAATCCCCGGCCCAAGGTGACCATCATGTTGATAGGCTTGATTTTGCTCTTTTCCAGCTGTGCTTCTGAAACAAAGTCCCTTCCTTTACACTGTTATTATTGTTACTTCAGGAGAAGCTTTCCAATAGACAGTGTTCAGTTGTGATTTTCTTTATAAGATCAGAGACGAGAGCATGACTATGGAAACTTCCTACATTTCAAGGTCTTGTTCTTTGATTACTTTTTCTCCGTTGTAGTTTGTATTAGTATGCGTTTGCAAGACATCATGTGACACTCATCGTGGGCAGTCGGCGCATGGGCATGACACGCCTTCACTCTTTTTATGGCCCTTCCTTTCCACCTCCTCCAGTTCTTGGCCCCTTTAGCTTTTGCAAAAAAAGAAACCCATCTCCCTGTTTCTTATCTGTCTTTCATTTTGCTCTTTAATTTATTTGAGTTTCTCCTATAAGAGAAGCCATGTAATATTTAAGCTTTTGTGTCTGATTTATTTCACCTAACGTTATGGTGCCAAATTGCATCCATTTTCCTACCAATGAGTCAAATGTATCTTTCTTTTTGGCAGAATAGTGCTCCATGGTGATAAATACGACACTTTATCCGTTTATCTGTTAATGGGCATATAGGCTTCTTCCCAGATTTACCTGTATGAGTTGTGCTGCTATAAACATGGCTATGCGTGTACTTTTCTTATAATTAACACCACCACCACCAATTTTGGTGTGTCCTTATCCTCTGTTGGACCATCACTGTCAGTGGGGAAATGAAACAAATCTTCTGGATGACAATGTTATTATCTATAAGGAGTAGGTTTAAAATGTTTCCCTTGGCAATTCCATGGCAGTTGTGGCAAGACATACTTCATGATACATATAAGTGTTCTGGAGAACCATAAGTTGGCTTATCATTATTTTAGCACATCTTCATGTTCTGTTCTTGGTCCTATTTTAATTTTAGGCATTACACATTTTCTAAACAACCTCACTTTTCCTCTTTTGCTCCTGGTGGATTTTAAACTTTGAAATCCCTTTTTGATAGAGGAAGAAGGGACTTACAATCAGAGGCTTTCTTTGAGCATCTTCAGGTCAGTGGAGTCCCCGTGGGTTCCTGTATCTGAGTGTAGAAATACCCAGCCCCTGGCAAGCACATCTATGGCACATTAGGTTGTTTTGTTTGTTTTTTGTTTTTCTTTAGTTTTTGGTTAGCCCTTCTCACTTGGAATCATTTCAAATCAAAGCCAACATGGTAAGGAGCTGCACGGCTTGTTGTCCATCCAAGATTGGGGTGAGGTGGTGGGAGCTCACCGAGAGCCTGGTTGTCCCAAACTCCTTAGGCCTTATTTTCTTTCTTTCTTTCTTTCTTTCTCTCTTTCTTTCTTTCTTTCTTTCTTTCTTTTTCTTTCTTTCTTTTCTTTTTTTTTTTTTGGTACTGGCGATCGAACTCAGGACCTTGTGCTTGGAAGGCAGGTGGTGGAGCCAGTGAGCTAAATCCTCAGCCCCCTTGTTTCCTTTCTGTCTGATCTAAAACTCAAACTATTAGAATGATTGTTGAATTTTTATTTTTTGTTAAACAAAGAGGCACAGATGGACATGGAGATGTGGAAGGCTGAGACAGGAGGATCATAAGGTTGAACTCAGTCTGGGAACTTAATGACCTGATTAGAGAGATCCTGCCTCAGAATAAAAAGGGGTGGGGGACAGAGGTCAGAGTGAATGCCCTGGGTTTGATCCCTAGTACTGTGGGTTGTATTCATGTGGAAGAAGATGGAGTATTTCTCCTGTTCCATCACAGTAGCTCAGGCTGTCAAATGAAGAATGGGTAGATTTCATCTTGGCCTGGAAGGTCAGGAGTCACACGGCGGCAGCTGTTGGTGGTGGGAGATGAGGGGATGGTCGGGCTGGGCAGGCCACAGAGACAGGTTACCAGGGAGGGGCTCTGGTGCGAAGGGCTGCTGGACACTGCGTAGGTTGGATGTGTGCGTCCCCAGTGTGTGGTGCTCAAGTGGTGGCACCGCCAAGAGTGGGGCTTAGGGGAGGTCATTAGGTCATGAGGCCATCACCTTTGGAGGGAGTAATGCAGGTCTCCAGGGGCTGAAGGAGTTCCTGTGAGGACAGATGGTTAGGAGGAAGCCCAGTGTCGCCCTGAATACCTCGCTCTTCCACTCACTGCTCTTACACACGCTCCCACCCCTGTGGTGCCTGCCCTCTGCCCCGAGCTCTTGCCAGAGCTGAGCAGATGGTCTTGGATTGCAGAACTGTGAGCTAAATGAACCTTTTTTTCTTTATAAATATTCCTTAGGTATTTTCTTATAGCATTAGACAGATGCTTATTGTCAGATTCTACTTGTTTTATAATTTTCTCCTAACCACGTTAAACTGTATCCCCCAAGCCTTCTGGCCAGATTCCTCTACTTTATGGGAAAAGATATTGATTGTAAAATAAGAAGACTCAGATTTGTGCCAAACACCACCAGTTTCTAATGTAGCCAAGTCACCTGCCCACTTGGGCCTCAAGGTTTTCTTTCCTCCATGGTGTCACCTCCCTTGCCCACAGGTTTGCTTTTTGTGGGTTCAGTTATCTGCAGTCAACTACATTCTAAAAATAAAAGCTTGATGGAAAATTTCAAAGTAACCAGCTCATATTTTCCATTGAACACTGTTTCTTGCAAGTAGTGTGATGAAATATTGGGCTTTCCTGAGTCCTCCTGCCCAGATGTGAATCACCCTGTGCTACAGATGCTGTAATAACACCATAAGCAACTCCAGTTTCCCAGACATTCACAGAGCCTTCTGAGGCCTTCACTCACTTTGGTCCCCTTCCTGACACCAGAAAGTGGTAGAACAGTGGAGGGGGGGGTCTTTGCACCCATGTTTACCAGTCTGGACTTCCCCAAGACTTCTCATCTCATTTTTTATATTCCATTTGCTATCTACCATGCCTACAGAGTTTTTGTCCCATTACATATATTCAGGAGACAACTAACTCATGTGTCCTATTCTGTTAATAGTTGTTGCTAATCATTTGTTGTGCCCACTTTATAAATTAAACTTTATCATATGGATGTATGGATAGGAATGTACGTATAGACTGTCTAGGGTCCAGAACTGTCTGTGGTTTGAGGCATCCCCTCTGGTCCTAGAACACACCCCTGTGGATAAATGGGATTTAGTGTTCTCAAAGTTCCCTCATTGTTCGAAAATTTCTAAGTTCAAACCCTTATAGAGCCTTGGCGGATTTTGCATCACAGACCAGAAAACCCCAATATGTTTACATTGCTTATTTTGCTGACTTACTTTAGGTTGGGGCCATTGTTGGTGGGCTCCTCCTCCTGGTGGTCACAGTCGCTGGTGTGGTGCTGTCAAAAGAATTCTGGAATTCAGATACCACCCTTCTGACCATCAGCTTCCTCTTCCCTTTGATTGGTCACATCTCCGGCTTCCTGCTGGCTCTCCTTACCCACCAGTCCTGGCAAAGGTACAGCTACATTCTCCACAAACTTTTCCTCTTTTGCAGGGCTGGGGTTTGAACCCAGGGCCTTACCTATGCTAGGCAGGGGCTCTCACACTTCAAGCCCCCAGAAGCTTTTTTGAGCCATAGGCAGGCTTTTGGCCTTGGCTGTGTCAGGAGAGAGGAAGCGTTTTGACTTACATGGTGAGTAGACAGGACGCTCAGCAGAAAGAGGGTAAGGGGTTACAGTAATTCTTTATGTAGACTAAAGGCCAAATTGATGGCAAGTTGTAATGTATGAAACTAGATTTGGGGTATTAATGCAGCTTGTTGAGGCCTGGGTGCATTTCTTTCTGAATTCCAATAATTAGATTGGAGGGATGAGGTTGTTTCCCTAAACATAGAGATCATTCCAGGGCCTGAACAAGTTTCCAGAAATTATGTCCTTGTTCTGTCTTTGGGCTAAAATTTTAAGAATGACTAATTATGAAACACGAGAGAAGAAAGGAGACAAACTTTCTGATGGAAGAATAAGTAACTTGTCTTAAATATTATCCTTACCGGTTGGGACATATAATTCATAAATGCTGTGAAATAGTAACAATGGTAATACTCCATGTTGCCATTCCTGTAATAAGATGAGCATTATCATACAAGGATGAGGGACAGAAAATCTATATAAACTTTCTGGAAGGCAATTCCCATGTCATATCAACAGACTTATAAATATTTATGGTTGCTAGCTCAGTACTTTTGCTTTTAAAGATTTGTTCTAAAATTAGCTCCATCAGTTATGCACATGAATATTGATAGGCTGACATTAATTATAATGTTATTTATGAACATAAAAATGGAAACAATTTAAATATATAACAATAGGAAGATATTTAATTCATGTCTAAGCCATGAGATGGAGATGATGCATCAATTTTAATGATTTTGGAAAATACTCATGAGGTAAGCATTACTTAACAGAAATTTTGATTCTCTGTAGAAGAAAGCAAAAAGTATTCTATATGTTGAAAAATACTGGAAAATATACCATATGGTAATTTTGAGTAGTGAGAATAAGGATAATTTAGTTCTTGATATTTTCTTTGTATATTTTCTGAGTATTTCAATAACTATGTCTATTTTTTAAATCAGAAAAGAATTATTAAAGAAAAGTGAACTATGTGGTTCCCAAGGTGCAGGAATGGCTTTATGCTGCCTCCATTCCACTAAGGAACATTTAGCATTTTACTAGGTACAGGCAAGGCTCCACCCAGGCTGTCTGATTTACTTCTTGTTACCACCCTGAGAGGCAGATACACGACCCTCATTTGAATGATGAGAAAACTCTTCAGAGAAGTAATTTACCCACCTCCTAGAGCTAGAGCTACTGGAGTTAGGATTTGAACTTGGGTTGGTGTGTTAGCTTTGCCATGGCTGGGCAAAATACCTGACATGAGCAACTTAAAAGGAGGAGAGGTTATTTCGCTCACAATTTCGGAGGATTCAGTCCATGGTGGGCTGGCTCAAATATACAAAGAGGAGGGTGGAAGCGTGAGGTGGAGCAAAGCAGCCTCGATCATGGTGGCCAGGAAGCAGAGAATGGGAAGAGTACCCATGAGAGACAGGCTCTCACAGATACTTCCCAATGGGCCCCCGGCTCCTAGCAGCACATCCAGCCACGAACAGTGAGTCAACACAATGATGAAGACAGCGTCCCATGACCTAGTCTCTTTTCCAGGAATCTCTTAACCTAGTCAAGTTGACAATTCAGCTTAACCAGCACAGTTTGTTTCCAAAATCATCAATTGGAAACACAAAAAGTCGATGGTTGAAATTCATAATTGAGTCTGGAGAAGGGAGTACTGCGAGGGCAGGGTGCAGTCAGCCACCTTGTCCTCTCATAGTCAATGGCCTGACTGAGATGAGGATTGAGTGTGTCTGCCTGGTGAGTGGTGCAGCTCTGAGTTCCAGCCCTGTCACTCAATCATACTGAGTTATTGGCAAGTGACGGGAAGAAGTGAGGAAGGAGGAAAGGGTAGCTAGCAATAGGGAAGTAGAAATAAAATGTGGCTGTATTTCCAGCTGCACATTCCAGTCCAGCTCACACCTACCATGTTCATCCTCGGAACACCTTTCCTCTCTCCGCTTCCATGTGTGAAAGCCTATAGGCTCTCCCACCAGCTGGAAACAGATAAGCTTAATCCAACCCCCAAGTCCTGGCTTCTCTCTTCTCTTTCCTTTTTCATTTTCTGCAATGAGAAAAACAATAAATATTAAGAAGTAGAAAGTAGAAAAATTATCACTAAATCCTTTCACCAAAGACTATTGTCTTTGACCTTTGGGTTTTGATTAAGGCTTTTGTGTTTGTGTCTAGCGTTGTACTGTTTTTTTTCATCTTTCATTCAGCTTTCCATCCTCATCCCCTTCAAGCCTCCTCTCATGCAGACTGGCTGGCTGACTGCAAAGCCTCCTGAATAAGTCACACTGGGAGCTGCTCCTGGAGCTTTATTTTTAATTTATTTTTGGATTTTGAGACAGGGTCTCACTCTAGTTCAGTCTGGTTTTGAACTCACTGTGTAGCACAGGCTGGCCTCAAATTCACCATGAGCCTCCCGGGGGTTGGCATACAGGCGTTTATACAGGCATACAGCCTGGATTCTCCCTGGAACTTTAGTTTCTATAATCTTCCTCACATTAAATGCCTCCTGAACTTCAGTCTGTAGCTTCATTCCTCTGTAAAGCTTCTCTAAATACTCTGCCACTTGTCTGAATTTCTTCAGCAACAGCCTGGCCCTGGGTTATACTTTGTCTTGTGTTGTTACTGAACCTTTCGTGTGTGTGTGTGTGTGTATGTGTGTGTGTGTGTGTCTTTCATCCAGATTCCTAGCAGGTTCATAAGACACACCCCACAATGCCTCTCTGGAGTGTGTACTGCAGAGCAGGTGCTCCGAAAATAACTATTGAGTGGCCCAGCACCTCCACTGCCTGACCTCAGAGCTTATGTGTGTTGTATCCACAAGAGAAGATGTACGAATAGTCCTTGCTGATGTGTAACAGACCTTTTCATCACCAGGTGCAGGACGATTTCCTTAGAAACTGGAGCTCAGAACATCCAGATGTGTCTCACCATGCTCCAGCTATCGTTCACTGCTGAGCACCTGGTCCAGATGTTTAACTTTCCACTGGCCTACGGGTTCTTCCAGATGCTGGATGGACTTCTCATTGTTACAGGTGGGTGGATTTTCACTATGTCCATCCAATTTACCAGTCTTTAAAAAAAAAAAATCTAAACTTGTGCTGGCCCTGTGATGTATTTTTAGTCTGACATTTTTGGGGATAATAAAGTGCATAAACAAGATACTTTGAAATAGTGGGAATTTTACAGAAACAATGTTTTAAGAACATCTAAATGTGAGATTACAATTAGAAACAAATATGCTTCACAAAAACCAATGCACTATGAGAACCTAGATTCCAGGTCTTGTGAGAACAAGGCCTCCATGAGCAAACACTGACCTCAAAAATGACATTTACCACACTGTAAGGATAGATTTCTTACATCTCTTTAAGAGTCTCAAGATTTCTCAAATGCCAAATTACTTCAGTGTTTTTGCAGACTTATATTTCTGTGTGGAAGTCATAGGACTTATGCAAATCACTGAAATTTTTCAAATACAAAATAGAATACATATCCAAGCACATATTTAAAGATGTTTTATATCTTTACACACATACACATTGTGCATCGATACAGCCAAGTATACAAAATTACTCTGGAGCCCATCACTATGTAGAGGTAAAATTTGAAAAATAGATGTATATATACACATATATATCTTAATCTTGGACCGCTGTAAATTTTTTTTATTGAGTTTATCGGTACATTTTAGGTATACCTTATGATCACATTCATCATTGGGAATTTGTACCTGTACATGATATATCTTGGTTCTTATGTTCTTCTCATTCCCCTGCCCTCCCTTTAACCCCTCCATCCCTCCCTATATACCTAAGCTTTGTTTCCGTTTTTTCCTTCTTTTTTTCAATTTTTTCCCTTCTTTCCTCCCGACCCCTCCCACTTCCCTTTCCCCTTTGAACATTTTCTTCCTATTTCAAAATATCTATTAGACATTTTGGTCCTCATTTACACTTTCAGTTTCTCACATTAGAGAAACAATTCAATATTTATACATGTGGTCCTATTTATTTTATTTGAGTATGGCTTCAAGGTGCATCCATTTAGCTATAAATGTCCCTAGTTTATCTTGCTTTATGGCTCAGTAGTACTCCATTTTATAAAAAACCAACATCTTTTTTATCCAATCACCAGTTGATGAGCATTTGGACTGTTTCCAAGATTTCGATATTACAAACTGTGCCGCTATAAACATGGGTGCGCATATATCGCTGTGGTATGATGCTTTTAATTCTTTTGGGAAGATACCCAGCAGAGGAATAGCTGGGTCGAATGGGACCTCTAATCCTAGTTTTTTGAGGAATCTCCACACTGGAAGAATTCCTTTTTCCCCATAGCACTGCCAGCATTTGTTATTGGTTGATTTCCTGATAACAGCCATTCTTTCTGGAATGAGATGGAATCTCAGTGGTTTTTTTTTTGTACGGGGGATCAAACTTGGGTCCTTGCAGTTGCACAGCAGGCGGTGAAACCATTGAGCTAAATCCCCTGCCCTCAGTTTTGTTTTAATCTGCATTTCTTGAATGACCAGGGATGCTGAACATTTTATTCATATGTTTATTTGCTGCTGCTTCTTCTTCATCTGAGAAATGTCTCTTCATTTCAGATTAGGCTGCTTTAAATTTTACCTGTTGTCCAGAAAGGGGCTCTGAGTAGGGTGAGATGATTACTGATATAAATGATTACATCCTGATTACTGATTATTATATTCTCATTGCTGATATAGTAAACATAACAATATAAGGAGAACTGGGGGTGTGGTTTTTCCATGGAGGAACAGAACTATCCTGGGCATAGGATGAGTTTTAGGGGAGCATCTCATCTGGCTCATTCTCAGCTATACCCTGGCAGTCATGATGAGTGTGCCTGTACCACAGTAAGCACTCCACCCAGGCTTGCTGACTGCCCCACTGAGCGATAGATGAACGATGTGTCAGCGACCTGATGAATGGGTCTCAATTCCAGACAGAAAGAACCACTTGGACATTCTGAATCACCTTATTCCATAGCTCTCTCTCTCCTGCTTTTTCTTGTGTGTTTATACACACACCACAGAAGCAGACACCTAGAGTATGCATGAGAATGCAAGTCTCCTCACATTTAATCTTTGTTGAACCTGTTTTTAATCCCTGTGTGTTTTATCACCAGCATATCAGGTATACAAGAATATGAAGAACAAACACAGACAGAAGAGCCCAGATTGTGCAGAAGTCCCCCCTGAGCAGAAACCCAAAGAGACCAGTGCTTTCTTGGAGTGGGATGAAGCAGCAGCTGTAAACCCTGGGCCATCAGGGCCAGGAGGTCACCTCGGGGCTCTGGGGCCAAGCAGCCTCCTCACTTCCTGTGGACAGTATGGACTTACTGGCCACACAGGTCCTCTGCCTTCCAGAGCAGCCAGAAAAGATGGTGAGAGCTGCTGCCTGGATCCCCTTGGCAGAGCCTTGTGAATGTTTTTCTGTGTGGTTTGTGAACTGCAGCAGGATCACTTTCTGAGAAGGTGTTCTGGCCTTTCAAGGAGCTCTTTGGGGTCAACACAATAGGGTCACTGCAAGTGTTCCTGCCTTCCTACAGTGGGGAGTGCACAAAAGGGTGGGACCTTCAATGCCAGAGGCACCCTTCCAGTGGGTGTGCATGTAGCAAGAGTCAGGACTCAAGGAGACATGGTCTCCTGTGCAGGGCCAATTGTTCCTGAGTCCTTGTCACTTCCTGACCCAGAGCAGGTTCTTGGAGCACTTAGGAGAAAATTGTAGCTCTTACCAAAATATGGGGCCCTTTTCTCTAATGATTGTTACTTGTAAAGGGGTGGAATATCTTTTTTGCTTACAGACATTGTAGAAGCTTAGAGGGCAGTTAAAGAACATGTGAGGTCAAAAAGCAAAGGACTGTATTGTCGGACCCTAGAGATCGATGCATCCACATGCATCCTGATCTACGTGTGCACACACACTGAATCCTCTGAAGAACATGAGACTGTTCCTCAGCTGCGCTGCTTGGCAAGGTACCTGGTGACATTACAGCCTCTGTACACAGAAGTCTGCTGGCCTAGCTCACTCTGTACAGCAGCGGTCACCATGCATCGAAGGACTGTACCTCCTCACTCAGCTATGTTCATCGACAGCGTGTGGATGCCACTGTGCAGCTGTGAGCCCCATGCCCCTCACCAGCACTGCAGCACTTTGTCACCCCCACCTGTCAGATGTGGCTCACCGCACCCCAGCAGTGCCTGCTCTCCTGCACCTTTGCTGGACCATGGGATGGGTACTGACCCGTCTTTCTTAAAACTCATTTTCAAAATTATGTGTGAACCACAGCATTTATGGTCTTTGCTCATTTGTCTACTTTGCCTGCGTTTGGATTACACTGTTTGGCTTTATAGATCTTAACACATCCTGGGACTGACAATGCATTTGTCTCATGCGTTGTCAAGACTTTACTGTCTTTTATCTTTTGTTTTTCTGTAATGTAAACAGTTTTATATTTTTACATATTCAACTTTATTAGTCTTTTAAAGTGTTTAAAAATACTAAATGTTAGAATATTGATATTTTTTGTGAAAATGTACTTGGCTCCTTTTCGGGGAGCCCATTTGGGGACATGTTTATTCACTGTGGTGTGTTTGTCTTCCTGTTGGTGAATTGATCCTGTAGTAGGTAAACCCACCTTTCTCTATGCTGACATCATTAAAGATACTTTCCCCTATATTTTTCTATTATTTTTATGGTCTATCATGTACATATTTATCCTACTTTTGAATTTAATTTTTGGCATATTAAAAATCTAATTTTTTATGCTTTATTATTCCAAGATTATATATCTAATCATTGTTTTACTTTCTTGTTGCTGGGACAAAATACATGACCTCCACAAGTTAAAGGAGGAGAAGTTTATTTTGGCACCAGTTTGTAGAGGTTTCAGTCCATAGTCAGCTGGCTAAAAGGCAGGGCAGCATGGCAGCAGGGCGTGACAGAGGAGAAGCAGCTCCTGGTGTGGTGGGGGGAAGCAGAGAGGGGTCAAGGGAGGAGGAGGGAGAACCACCTTTCAGGCCACGCCCATATTGACCCACCTCTTCCTACCAGGCTTCACCTCTCAATATCACATTTAGTTATAAACTCATCAGTGAACTCATCCACTGATGAGGATCACACACCAATGATCCTGTCACCTCCCTAAAGCCCCACCTGTGAGCACATGAGACTTTGAGGTGACAACTAAATACAAATCATAGCAATCATTCATCTTTTCTCTACTGATAGAAATGCCACCTTTATCACATACTTTTCCTACTTGTGTTTTTATTTGGATTCTTTTTTGTTCCATTTTCTATTTTTATTTGTAAAATGTGTGAGAAAGTGTACTATTTGAGATTTAATGCTTTACAGTTTGATTTTGTAAGAATTTCCAATACCTTGTGGTTTAATATGATGATAGTGATTATTATGGTATTTTTATAATTCAGAAAATCTTTGTGGCTGTGAAGACAGAGTCCCATTAGGTTCTGAGTAACAGGCACTGGAATTCTGTATGGAAAGGAACCATGAGCCCACCTGTAGCATTATGGTTGAGTCACCATGGAACCTCACTTGCCCACCTGGTGACTCTGGAGTGAGGATCTTGTTGGTGCTCTGTGCAGGCTCATGGGCATGCAGCAGTCACAGGGAGGAAGGGTACTGTGGGGGATACAGGACAGTGGGGGAACAGATCACTGCAAAGATATGCTTAGCAGAGTTGTGGTTGTGGTGTCCCATGCCTATATTCTCAGCTAATTGGGAGACTGAGGCAGGAGGATCCCATTTTTGAAGCCATTCTGGGAAAGTTAGATCCTGTCTTAAAGGGGCTGAGATGAGGCTCTGTACTTTCTGGGTTCAATCTCCAGTACTGGGGCAAAAAAGTGGGAGGAGGAGAAGTGATTCCCAAGTCCAAAATGAACATTACCATGAATTTTAAAGAATCCATAAAAAACAAATTTCTAAATCATTTCTCTACAGACATCTAATGCAAAATGGTGAAATTCAGCCCTCTGTTCTGAAAGCATTAGTGTTATGGTTGGTATTTATCAGCCAGGACATCCGCAGGATGAGGAGACAGGTCTACCATGGGGATCTTTAAGACAGAAACACAAGCCAATATGAAGGCCTGAAAGTCCTGCCAGACCTTCATCACACAGGGCTTGTGAACATGCTGCTGAGCACTGAGGCATCAGGCTGCTTGAGAGCCCATGCATTATTTTCTTTTTATTTTAATGAGACAGGGTCTCACTGTGTAGCCCAGGCTGGCTTCAATCCTCCTGCCTCAGCCTCTCAAGTGCTGGGATTATAGGCATGTGCCACCACGCCTGGCTGATGAATTTTAGAACACAGACCAAAATGAAGAAGTGCTAATTAGATACAGTGTATTGTAACTGACTGGGATAATCTTGAGTTCCTAAAAGGTGGGGCTTCTATGAAATGGGAAGTGGGGCTGGTAAAGCATGAGGCCAGAGGCCAGCTATACAGACAAGCCTGCTGGACAGCATGCAGCAGATGTAGTGGGAAGGACCTGGGCCAAGTGGCAAGGCCATTTCCATCTTCCACAGAAACAGCCAGCATGGCTCTGAGCTGAGGGCCAGGCCAGACAGATATGGAATGGAACCCTTTCCTTGGTCACTGGGGCAACCTGGGCCCAATGACAACCCCCTTGGAGGATGATACATCTGAGCCCAGACACAACTTGAGAAGCCAGGCCTAGGAGGTGATTGCTAATGAGGGGTCTCCTTCTCTCTGCAGTTACAGTGGAGGGCAGCAACTGGCAGGGCCCAGTTAGCTATCACCCTCCTCTCTGAGCGACCTTCCCATTGGCCTTGGTGTGCACCTCCCTGCCAGGAGCTGCCTGATGCCAGGCTCTCGAATCCTGAGAGCTCCTCTCGTGCTGACCAGTTGCAGCACACTTTGTCCATGGCCTGCAGGTTTGCTGAGCACTGTCTTTGGAATCTGGGTCATTTGGGGTGAATAAAACATTTCTAAATTCGTAAAACTACTGCTTTCAAATATTCCTGTAGATGTCCACAACAGTTACAAAAATCAGATACTTCTGGTTCAGGAAGATCTTAAGACTGATGGTGTAACTACCAAGGGATGCTGGAAACCGAGGCACGCACTGCTTGCTTTCTCTTTCCTGTGAACAGAACCAAGATGGTGCTCAGGACTGTCATATGTCAAAATACTCATTGTACTGAAGCAGGCATGCACATGACATGGTTCATGCTGAAAACGGAAGCAAAAATCTGCTGACTTCTGGGAAATCTTGCTTTCATGCCACAGCACTGATGGACCCTTTCTCCGTGTCCATCTCCTAGCTGATACTGCTGGTTTTTTTCTGGAATATGGATGTAGTAAGTGGAGCTGCTACAGCCATTTCCAGACCATGAAGGAAAGACCATAATCAAACCTATCAACACCCTTCTTCTGAACTCATTTTCTGAAGAAAAGTAAATCTCATTTAAGTCTTGTTTGGTTTTTTGTTACTCTCATTCAAATGCATTCTCAAATTGGTACATTAAAATTTTGTTGTTTTTGTTTTTTGGACTGGGGATCGAACTTGGGACCTTGTGGTTGCAAAGCAGGCGGGGGAATCACTTAAGATTTTGTTGGTTTTAAAATTTTATTCAGGCTGGCCTATACTTTGTCCATGTTTATATCCACCATAACAAGACAGCTTGAATATTTATAAATTAAGAAAAATGAGAACACGTTCTTTCATTATGACATCTATTACAAAACATGGCTGTAGTAAGCTGTTCTAATTTCTCCTTTTTAATCACATTACATTTGGATAATAAGTCATTTTTAAGCCAAGAGATCTGGCAGGCAATCTGGAACCATAGGTGTAAAAATCTGATCTCATTACCCATTTCTCTCCTGTTCATCATAATTCAGAAGCATTTCTACTAATGACAGCTACCAAAGTTTTGATTTTAGGATAAAATTGTTTTTAATTCCACAAAGCTTCTGACTATTCTGATACCATTCTTTAAAAAAACTAGCACATATTAATATACATATGAATGGGGCTAAGTGTGGTATTTTCATGCCTGGGTGCAGCATCCATCGACTAGATCTAATCACTTCCAGCCCTTTCATCCTCATTGTGCCCCTTAGCCTGTACCTAGCAATCACTATTTTTGAGGCTTTTTTAGTTTCCACATGAGAGAATATATGGTACTATGCCCATCTTACTTTGCTTAATATGACAAACTCCAGTACCATAATTTTTGCTATAAATGACACGATTTCCTTTTTTATGGCTGAATACTCCATTGTAAGTATACATTTTCTTTGTTCATCTGTTGATGGTTGATTAGGCAAATTCTGACTTGGCTATTGTGAACAGTGTCACAGTAAATAAGCAGAGGCATGCAGGTATCTCCTGGGATGCTGTCATTTCTTTGGGTCTGTACCTAGGAGTGGGATAGCTACACAATATAGTAGTTCCATTTTCAGTTTTTTTGAGCAGCCCTCATACTGCTCTCCCTAGTGGCTACTACTTTACTTTCCCCGCAGGGTGTAAGATTCCTTTTTTTCCACATTCTCTCTAGCATGTATTCTGGAATATACAGCTGTAATTGTCTTACAAATATCTTCCATTTTAACTTGTGCTCCCCTTCTGTAGCACTCTGCGGCGCCTCAACCAGCTTCCTGTAGCGCAGGTGCTGTCAGGTCAGCTCTTGGCCCAACAGGAGTGCCTGGCCGTGAAAGGCTTGGCTCTGGCCCTGGCCCAGCCCGTACAGCCTCTCCACACGTGGTCCTCTGTACTCTCCTTCTGGTGCGGGTCATGAAGAGTCCTACAACAATCCTGGAAGCTGTGGCTGACCACAGAATGCCTGGAAGCTTGGCAGGAAGGAGTGGCCTGCCATGCAGTTCATCTGCCCTGAATTGTTAGATAAACTGGATGTATGTTGGAGGCATATGTTTTGGGTTTATGTGTTCTAGTACTTAGCTGCAACAAGAGCTGTGCTGTGCTTACTGACATCTGAGAGTCTCCGGGGGCAGTCTTCTTTTAGCCTCACCTTGCCTTCTAAGCCACTGAGTGGCTGTACCTTCCATGGTGAGGCGCCAGGTCCCAGATGCAGACAGTGACATGTTTATTATACTAAAGCTCCCATTCTGGTGTCACCTGCATTTCTTCCCAGTTTCCATTTCCTAGCCACATGCTTTCCTGAGAAATGTCCTCCACCTTTGCCTCCTCCAGTCTGGGTTGACTTCCTTTTTTTTTTTTTGATACCAGGGATTGAACTTGGGACCTTGCGCTTGTGAGGCAGGTGGTGGAACCACTGAGCTAAATCCCGGGCCCTGGGTTGACTTCAGATAGGACCTCGCCCGCACCCAAGTAGCTCTGGCTGCCACAGACTTTGGGCCTGGTTTTATATGCCTGTGACCAGGAGACCAGGAAGGACTCCAGCTCACTCAGGACAGGGTTTCCCAAGGGCTTTTAGAGCCACAGAAAATGTTGCTTTTTTTACAACTTATGATGTTGGCAACAACTGTTCTGACTGAGGTGAAAATGGTGGTAGTGAAGTTTCTCTTGTCAGATTCCGAGTCAGTTCTGAGTGGAGAGTGAAACATCATCAAGGAGCTTTGCATAGTCACCGATATTACCTTCTGCCTGCAGAGCCTCCCTCCCCAGGAGTGGGGCCCAGCAAACCACCACACTTGGGAAAGGTCACCTTCCAGTCTGTGGGCTCAGAACTGTTGCAACTGTAGGAGCAACCATGCAGCTCGCCAGGTCTCAGGACAGGACGAGGAACACCGAGAGTCAGGATTAGGGAATCGGGTGCAGGACTCAGAACATCACAGTGTTGAAGCAGGCTCTTTGAAGCTGATTTGTTTGCCTTCCTACAGCACAGACACATAGAAACTTCCCAGGCAGGATGCTATTGTGTGATCACTCCTTGGTCATCTGAGAATCCTGAGTGTCACTTGCAAATATTCTGATTCACACATCAGTCAGGCATAGAAAGCTGGTGCCACTCACAGGGCATGGTAGAGGGAGACTGGACTTCACTGCTGCTGTCAGCCGGTCCTGGCCGTGTCAGCCCTTAATGAAGATTTACTGGATCCTTGATACTCGCACTGCCTGTATGTGGCTGGCACAATGGTAACCAACTGGGTGGATGGGAGGTTTTTTGGGTCAGAAGGTCTCTGGCTTCCCAGAGGCCTAGGTTTCGTTAAAAATTAACACTGAAAATGTGTTTCTGCACATTTTTATTTACAAAGTGAGATGTTGCATTACAAACACATGATGCAGCTAACTCCGTCAATGCAGATTTACTCTATGTTCATGAAAAAGTATATAAATATATTACAGGATAATCTATGTAGTAAACATTAGAAATTGATACAGTAAACATTTGCTACTTTGTCTATACCAATATTACTGTCATTTAAAGCTTAAATACTGGTTTCAAGTATCCCCTATAAAATAACTCTATTAAAATACTGGAAACAATTTTGCTATAAACAAGATTGGTACATTAAAAATAGACTCAAGTGTGTCCTTGTAACAAAGTCCACTATAAGCAAATGCTATCATTAGCCCTGTTCAGTTAGTGTTAAACAATTTCACAATTATCACAGGTGAATGCAGCTGTGAAGACAGCATCTGACATCGTTACTATGAGAATGCCCCTGTGAGGTCAGGAAGTCAGCAGAATGGAACTGTATGGTGGCTCCTCCGCAGGGTGGAGAGACGCGGAGGCACTGGAAGGCTGCTCCTGTCACATCATTCCGGAAGCTGGGGTTGCTCTCTTTGCTCTTCTTCAGCCTGAAGACGTGTGAGGACATAGAGGATGACCTGATAGCAGAAGATGTACTGATCCTGCGGGGGAGGGAGGGTGGGAGAGAATGATTTTAGATGCGCCATGTGACTATCACACATAGTTACAACCACTACAGAGAGTGGTGTTTGGGTTTTTACTACACATAATCTTAGCCAAAAGGCCAAGAAGCAATTTTTTTGGTTTTTAAAATGTGGAAAAATTTTAAGTCCTGAGTCTAAAGAGCAGGTCACAAATTACTCAGTGTCATAGAAATAATTAAAAAAGCAGAAACTAAATTGACAAAACGAGGAGGAAAAAAGCCTGAGGGTTGGGGGTAAAACTTCCAGAGCTAACTGAAATTGTCTGTAATTGGTTGACCACTTCTATTTTTGTGCTCTGATAATGTTTCATGGAAAAATAAACTTTTTATAAAATTTCTTCTAGACTTACTGAAACATCTTAATATTTTAAAAGGTCAAAGAAGTAACTAAGAAGTTATTAAAAATTTTATTTAAATATTTTGGAGCGAAAGAACTGGAAATAAACAAGTATGTTTATAGAAATCAAAGTTTGGGCTGGGGATTTAGCTTAGTGGTTTCGCCGCCTGCTGTGCAAGTGCAAGGACATGAGTTCAATCCCTGGT